AAAACGACGTAAGTCGAATTTACCTGTCTCCGAATCTACTTATCACTAGGAAAGCATTTTAAATAATATATGGTTAATAAAAATCTATTTTAAGCTTACAAACAAATAAATTTTAGTTTTTAATATAGTACAAAAAAAGTAATCTAAATTTACGAATGCGTGTACTGTAAATACAGTACATACTTGTATATATTTTAATATGATTTTATGTGCTTTAAACGTTTTTCTAGTGATATTACGACTTCAATATTTGTGGCGGACAGACGTAAAGTCGAATAAAATGACTTAAACTTGATTTTTATTTTTCCATATACTTTTTTGACAAACGACGTATAATCGGGAACGACGTAACTCGAAAAGACGTAAGTCGAGGTATGCCTGTATTTAAAAACTCAAATTTCATTTATCGATAATCTATCAACCTGCAACCTCTTGTCCTGTAGTTGTCAAATTACAGAAATCTTCTTAAAAAAGTAAAGTAGTTCATGCAAGCTTAACATATTCTATAATTTCTATAATAATTATACTGAAATTTATATTACTAGTGATAGAATTAATAGTATTTTGTACAAAACTGATATTATTATTATTTATTACAGAATATTCACGGAATTCCATATTTATTTTCAAATCCTTTTTTAATCATCACTACGATAGCGATATTATGGCAATACTACGGATGGACTATTTTAGTAGGATTCTTGGCCATATTTCTCTACATTCCTATACAATTTCTTTTGAGTAAACTATATTCAAAATTGAGGTAATTATTATTTTGATTTTTGACTTATATAATTGTGATAAACCTATAATTAAGATTAAAAAGAATAATGCATAAGTTAGTTATTATTAATTAAGATGAAATACAGTTACTGTATTTAATAACTATAATTTAGTCGAAATCTAGACTTATAGCTGATGTTAGAGATGATGTAATGACCAAGAGAATTAATCTTTTTGCTCGAGTATTGTTTGCATGACATTTATGCTATTGCTACTAATGCATTTGTTTGTAATAGTGTTTGTTTATTTTCTGTTATAATGCTTATAATTTGATCACACAACATCATATAATTTTTCGAATGTTTTGTGAACCGTGCACAATTTTTTGGATTGCTTCATTTAATGTATAGAAAATTCAACTATTCTTGTCTTAAAAATTAGCAAAACATTTCATGTCTTTTGTGAAATTTCGACTAATCTTTATTTTTAATTTAAGTAATCGAATTATTATAACTGCATTAAGATGCCGCGTAAAAAATTAAAAATAAGATGAAAGTTGTCAGATCCAACACGATTACTTCTTAAGTTTAAAATAATACTTCTGCATACAAAATATATACGAGTATATCGACACTTGATCCGTTTGTAAATAGGGGTTTTTCTTTATATATTCTTAAAAGAATTAGATGTTCATTAATATTAACATTACGAAATGGGGCTGCGTCTATTCACTGTTTTTTGTGAAAATTTTTCATATTTTTTACTTTGAACTTTGTAGACTACACCACTTGTTTATAGTTCAAATAATTGGAGAAATTTATGGTTATTTGTAGCAAAGCGGAAATTGATGTAGTATACTCGTATTTATCTATTGCTTTTTCGAAGCAAACTACTGTAATGAAAACATCAAAACTGCACAATCATACCGCCCTGGCATTTTTTATGAATTGAATTAATTAATTAAAAATGCAGGGCGGTAACTAATACATTACAAAAACTCAAATATAATAAAAGTAGCACAACAGTGTCTTATTTATTTCGAAACGTCCTTTACACACTTCGGAAAAATCCAGTTTTTCCTCCTTAAGTATTTGAGTTTTTGTAGTAGATAAAGAATGCATTTTTTAATTTCCTGGTATTTTATACTGTACTGTTTTAAACACAATGAAATACTGTGTGGCACCGATAATGTTTTTTGAAAGGATGCCAACAACAAACTCTTAATTTTAAATTTCCCCTTAAAGACCATATTTTTTGTAACGCTATGTAACGTTCCCGAGTTAACTCGAGACTGAACGTTAAGTTATTTTAAAGCTGCTTTCTGATGTCAAAAACGACCTCCAATAGTTTTTAAATTTTTTAAATTAATATATTTTATTTTATATAAATTTAATTAATTAGTGGGGTCGGAAATCGCAAGAAAATTTTTAATTTTTAAAAAATAATTAAAAATATAGGTCTAGTTACTAGTCACCCTACGTTAAACCCTTGTATTCCCGAGACGTCTATGAGAATATCCCGGGAAAACCGACTCCAGCTGTGTTCAAGGTCATCCAGCTGTGTAAACAATGACTCATCAGTGTCAAATTTCACAGAAAGGCCAGACAAAGGAAAATGAAATTTGAAGCTTTTTCTTCAAAATTAACGCATTTCTTTCGTTTTTTTCAGTTTTAAGTATTTTTTATGCTTAATTACATTATAATTAAAAACAGGTGGGCGTTAAGAGATTAACGAGCGATGATTTTGCATAAACGAGATACAAAGAGATGGGATGTCCTGGATTGTGAGCATGCTTTATCAGTCTGTGTTTAGCACTCGTTATGCCAGCATCTTGATGTCATTTGTGATCACACATTTTTTCAAACTTACGTTTATACATATTACGTATAAACGACAACTATAGCCCCTTATATAATAAACATGCCAAACAATATGTGAAATTCTTGGACTATGTAAAGGTTATACAGTCGACCCCCCTATAATTACGGTCCCTATAGTTACGATTCCTATAAAACTACGAAAAAATTGCTACCGGTATCCGTAAAAAATAGTAAAAGTTCCCTATAAACACCTCAAACGTCATCGGGAAGCCGAACTACTTTCCCGCCGTCCGTAGCGCCACGCTACGGAGAGATTTCTATCGTCTGGACAGTATTATATAAATTATATATAAATTAGGTACTGTACATATAATTATATATTAATTATATATAAATTAGGTACTGTATATATAATTATATATTAACTTATTGTAACTTTGTTATAATTAAATATATAATTTCCGCCGTCTAGCGTGGCGCCACGCTACGGAGATTTTTACGCTAACTATCGTCTGTCAGTATGTAAATTAGGTACCGTAAGTCTAATACAGTACTGTAATTTTATACATTTCTTGTGAAAGAAACATTTCTTATTCAACGGCGATTAAAATTATTTATATTAATGATGTCTCCGAAGTTCTACGAAGTTTTCACAGAAAAATAAGTTGTTAGAAATCGGCCGCTCTTTGCTGAGCTGTTCCGCGACGAAAACAATGTTGAGCAATGGCAATGTCGAATGGTGACACTCGGTAAGTAATCCTACAATTTTTTGTTTATAGCGTAGTTTATACGGATTATTCCCAAAAAATATATACGTATTTTGGAAATGTTGAGTCGGATTAGTCTAGAATCGATTAATTTTATGGAAGAAAATCTTTCAAACAGCCGTAGTCCGTAAACTTGACACGTGTCGGGTTGTGATTGGAAGGATTCGTAAGAAAGCGGATTCCTAGAGAATGGAACGTATCTCTATCTTATAGGGGGGTCGACTGTAATTAAATATTAGAAATTAATTAATTTGACTAGAGGTATGCAGTTATGCTTCCATCTCGTATTAAATTTAATGATCAATTCCAAATTCAATTTTAAAAACGTCTAAATTAAAAATGAATTATTTATAATTGTTAAATTTAATACGAGATGGCAGCATGACTTCCTACTGCTAGTCAACTTAATTAATTTCTTATGTTTAATTATAACTTTTAAATAGCCCAAGAATTTGATATATCAGACATATGATCTGTGACTTTTTTCTGTTTTCTGCAAATCGAATTCGCATTCCAGGTTGGTTTATTGCACGCTAGAAGAAAAGATGATGATGATGATTCATCTCCTTAACAATATACTCGTACATTGTATAATTTTTCTGAATAAACGTTATATATAAAATATTTGGGTACTTTTCCGGCATGGGACGAATTAATATGGAAATTATGGAAAAAATTATTTTGCTTAACGAGTGTTTCGCATTACGAGTAAGATTTTGAAACGAATTATGCACGTTAAGGGCGGTTTCACTGTAAATTCTTTCAGTCACATGAATAAACATAGAAGCAAAACTTTACTCTTATCAGCACGAAGCAAATGCTTTTGAATGAAGATTTTGTTTTAGTAATAAGTATTCCGTATGAATAAAAGTGAGCATTATTTGAAATATGTAGCATATTCTTCAGAATACATGCATCTAGACAGACGTAGACTCAAGTGCAAGAAGTGTTGTTTGCTGTTACTTTCGTCTAGGTTTATTTCCTGTTAATGTTTAACCTTGGCTCAAGTAGTTAATCTACAGAAGACTAAATATTATAAGCTTCGTTATCTCCAGAAGACAGGGCTTTTAAAGTGTTAATTAGGTTTGAATAAGAAAGTGTTTAATGATTGGCACATAATTTTTTAGGAGTGAGGACTGAGTTATGTGGAGGTGCGCTAACTTATTTACAAAAAAAAAATAAAAATATGTTAAGATATGTTACAGATCTTGAAATCCAAAAAGGCATAGAAGAACTTCCTGTCTTTATACAGTAGAGCCTCGATTATCCGACTCAACTGTGGACTGGGGTTGTTCGGATAATTGAAAAGTCGGATAACCGAAAAATATGAAAAAATCCATTATTAGTGTAGTATATTATTATATCCCATGTAATTAGTATATTAGTATATCGCTATTAACCTACTTCGCGTTGAATTTTCATCGATGTTAAGCCTAACAAAAATTTTTTAAAATAATAATCGTCGCTATTGTATCGTTAAAAATTAGAAAATTAAGCCTCNTGAAGATTAAGAATGCATACTGTATAATTTTCTTTGAATAAACGTTATATATAAAATATTTGAGTATTTTCTCGGCCTGGGTCGCATTATCATATTTTACATCAATTCATATGGGAAAAATTATTTACTTAACGAGTGTTTCGAATTACGAGTAAGATTCTGAAATGAATTATGCACGTTAAGTGCGGTTTAACTGTAAATTCTTTCACTCACATGAATAAACATAAAAGTGAAACTCTACTCTTATCAGCACGAAGCAAATGCTTTTGAATAAAGATTTTGTTTTAGTAATAAGTATTCTGTATGAATAAAAGTGAGCATTTATTTGAAGTATGAAGCATATTTTTCAGAATACACGCATCTAGACAAACGTAGACTCAAGTGCAAGAAGTGTTGTTTGCTGTTACTTTTGTCTAGGTTTATTTCCTGTTAATGTTTAACTTTGGCTCAAGTAGTTAATCTAAGGAAGTTTTAATAGTTTAAGCTTTGTTCTCTCCAGAAGACAGGAATTTTAAGGTGTTATTTAGGTTTCAATAAAATAGTGTTCAATGATTGGCACATAATTTTTCAGGAGTGACGACATAGTTACGAGGAGGTGCTCTAACTTATTTACAAAAAAAGAAAATAAAAATTTGTATAGATATGTTACTGACCTTGGAATCCAAAACGGCATAGGAGAACTTTCTGTCTTTATATTATTAATTTTTATCATTAATTTTGTTCGATAAATTTTTTTCCAAGTATTTTTTTCTCATTTGAATAAAATTATTTGTGGCTTCATTTTTTTTAATGTTAGGAGTTCAAATTCAGATAGTTTAACAACTTTACTAAATGTCCACAAAATATTTAATATTGTTAGTAACTGGAATAAAAGAAAATAGTAACTACATAAACTGAATTAATGTTTATAAAGTAATTTTATATAGGCTTATTTTTGTAAAAGTATATATTTATATTTAAACATAATTCCATAATAATAGATTACAAGCAGCTTTATTGGGAGATAAAAGAATGAACCTCTTGAACGAGATGATTGCTGATATGAGATTAATTAAAATGTACACCTGGGAATTGCCATATGCCGCATTAGTTGAGAAAATCAGAGAGTAAGTGATATTAAATACAATAACACCTGTATAAAAAATGCTTAGAACAAACCCTTTCTTTAAGTTAAATGAACTATTCAAGATGGAAACTCACCTGATTAATAGAAAATGATTTGGTGTAATTCTGGTTTACACAAATTTTACTGTATTTGTGCCATTCCTGTTTTTTCACAATTACTTTCAAAGTTCTATAATTTGTTATAGCGAACTGTTTATATTTGCAGGAAAGAAATGAAAAAAATTCAAATGTATTCATATGCAAGAGGAATAGCGCATATATTGGCATATCCTATATGTAGATTATTTACTTCCCTCACATATCTTGCATTTTTCTTAAATGGAGGACAACTGAATGCCCAAATTATATATATCACTATGGGTGCTTCTGTACGTATTTTCGGTAGCACTCTCAATTTATTTTCACGTGCAGCAGATTGTGCTGCAGAAGTTTTGGTTTCGTTGAAAAGACTTCAGGTAATGAAAAGATTAACAAATTGTTGTTTTCAAATTTTATTAATTTAAAAATTATTCAAAAATTTTAATATTTAATTTAAAAATTTAAAAATAACATTTAATAATTATTTACAAATTTTATTAATTTAATCTTTCGCTTTCTGGGCCATAGCCACTAAGATTAATTTTTTTTGTTATATCACACCGTGAAGTTTTGCAGGCCACCATGGGGGAAGTATCTGGTTATGGATGAAGTGGGACATATCACTGATAGAGATCTCATTGTAATCATTTTGGAGTTTTCAAACTGAGATATCTGAAATTTTCAGGTGTTACAAAGCAGTGGAGGGACCTTGGACTAACTTAGCAATTATACCGTTCCGGGCAAGATAGTTATTTATTTATCTTGCGTGTAAGTAAAATATAGGCATATTGTAATTTTAATCGAAAAATTTTTGGGCTCGGACCTGGAAAATTTAATTACTTAATTATTTTCAAGAGATAGAAAAATCAGCTATCTGAAATTAACAATGTTTTATAATTTTTATATTTCTTAGCCCATTTTGTAGCCTGTAGCAATCTTCCTCTCTGGGCAGCTGTCTGTCTTGCCGAACTCGGTATTGGCCTCCAATAGTGACACTTTAATTTATTAGACCATCAGAAGCAAGATATAGAATTCAGTTAATAACACTAAGAATAACTGTTACAGCATCCCTGATTTTAGCAAAATTTGGCACAAAATATACAATGCAATTATCTGAACTGTAGGGATTAGAATCGTCTGGAAGCATGATTCCAGTCTTTTTATTGTTTTTAATTTTATTTCAAACTAGTCAACGTTGCAGAAGTTGATTGGAAAAACGACCAGTGGTTTTGAATCTGTAATCACTGATTTTCCGCCGATCATCGGACCACCAGTGGACCTCTGGCAGAGTTACGAAGCGCTGATTAATCAATGAATCCTACCATCAGTCCATATAAAAAGTTGCCGTTTAGGTGGGAAAGTTAAGTTCGGTTTATGCTTGGCTTAGGACTTCACGTTGGTGAAAGAAACTTGGTTAGGTTAAGTTGGTTATCATTACGATCGAAGAAAGTTACATTACTGTAGAGAGGTTGCGGCCGAAATTTTCATCTCTTAAACGTGAGCGTCGAACGTCGAGCACTGCTTACAAAATGCGGCGCTCGACGTTTGGCGTTCACGTTTGAGAGATAAAAATTTCGGCCGCAACCTCTCTAATAATCTGGCTGTTTCTTCGACGAAGGCCGAAAGGAGCATACATCTAGTTACGACTCAGGATTACGTCGTAAGGTATCTTTTTAACCAGACTGTTCAGTGCTAGTGGACTATTTGAACTTTATTTTATTTTGTGAGTTTGTGGAAACCTACATTGTAAACACTTTAAAAGTTGTAATTTGTAACTTTTGTGAAACATCGTAAGTTTTAAATTTTTACTAACATTATAAAGTTTTTAGTTTGACTCGAACCATTTCATTATATGATCTATCAAGAGCAAGTTATCTGTGTTAAAAATTTAGATACACATCTACATTACTGACTGATATTGGCTAGTTTTTAGAAGCTTCGCCCTATCACACACAAGGTTTTTGGCATTTAAGTATGTCGTGATTGTGAATATTTTTATTATTTTGAGTTATAAATATTTACAAATAAACGTGGGTCTGACGTTGCTTAAGAATTTGTAAAGAAAACAAGTAATGCTTCTGGATTTTGGTAAATAAGAAAATCAGACAGAAAAAGGAATTTTTTCAGAAAGTAGAGGTTCATCTGCTGATAGTTGGGAAATGCAGAATAAGGAAGAAAAGAAAAAAATTTTGTTACTAAACTTATATCCATATGAAAAATGATAACTATCGTATGGTATATTTGCAATGCTTGATAGAAACGTGACAATTTACCTACTACTTTGGCTTCTGTGAGATGTCATATAGTTCTTTTAGTTTACAGTACGCGTGTAAAGAAACGATATTGATATAATTATGAATAGAGTGTAACTAATCGTGATACTTTAAAATTTAACGAGGGTTGATAATAAGCATCTATATCTCTGAATAGCAACAGTTTATGTATTTTAATGAGATATTTTAACGATAATATGAATGATACAATATAATGGCCTGGAAAACAGTCATTTCATCTAACTTCTCCTGCTGATCATCTTTTCTTCGGCAGATTAGCGCCTGCATGACTGAATTAATGCATTACTGCTTCCGATATAATATAAACTAATGCAATATAAACTGGTATATAAATTTTCATTTGTCATTAGAATAAGTTTTAAATTCAATTTGTCGTAGAACGCTCATTACGACTTACAAAATATAATGGAATGGATAACTGCATCCTGATGTCTAACACTACAATTGTTCGTAAATTTATTAATCCACGGGAACGTAGATATAATACTTTTTGTAAGATTTTTCGAATTTTGATTTAGGATTTCCTTCTTCTTCAAGAAAAAGACGACAAGTCTCTCAAAGCTGTAGGAGAGAGCCAAATTTTAACCGAATATGGAATATGGATGAATAACGTCACGGCTACATGGAAAAAAGTAAGATGTAATTAATATAATTTCAATTATTATAAGTTTTGAAGTGAATGCCGTAGCTGTGTTAGTTTATATAATTACACTGATTTTAAAGTAAATGTATAAGCAGTTATTAAATATTCCTATGTTGATTAACAAAAATATAATATTTTCGAGTTTATCTTTATCCTTTAATCCAACCAAGTAACATTCACAATGGTTTAGAAGAATAAAACTTCTTAACAAAGGTAAAAATTTCACAAAATTGAGAACGGTCAAGTGTCAGCCTTGTTTTTGTAACTTAAAAACTGAAAAGAAAAAGAATGATTTAAGATTTTTTAAAAATTCTGGAAAAACCAATGCTAAAAAAATGTTGTATTGGCATCTCACAGATTTCAGGAACGATCTGAGGGATAACACGAGACAAGACACAATGTATTTTTTATCGGACAATGATGGATTATCGACTATATTTTACAGACAGGACAGATTACAAAACTTCTGGTATACAAACAATTGACATAGCATAGTGTACCTTTATTATATATGAATAACCCAACACTAATTTTAGGATTTATAAATTATTATCAGCTTTTTTTGAAATAATATATTTATGTTATAATTATCTAATTTATGGTATATTATTTCTAATTTATAACGTATAAGATTATTTATATACAATTTAGTTACTTTACGCTTTGAATTTTTAAAAGGAAACCCATCCAACATTAAATGATATATCTATAAACGTACAACCTGGAGAATTATTTACTGTTATAGGCCCTGTCGGATCAGGAAAGGTGAATGTTTCGTTTTCTGGTTATATATTTAAATTATTTATATGCTTTGTAATATAAAGCTTCTTTAGAATAACTAACAAAAATTTCAAAGTTAACCATTTATGTAATTGCAATAAAATTCATTTTTAAATTGTTATACTTAATTGTCATGTTTAAATAATTTTATGTTTTTGATTAGTTACAGCGGAAATTAGTTACATGATGTAGAAAACGAGAAAAAATAGAGAATAATTTGTATTGTTATAGAATCTAACTTTTCATCCATTTCTTAGTTAAATGAAAATGATTTTTAACAAATCAAATTTTACATACAACTGGATATAAGCATATTTATAATTACAGTTCGTAAAATATATTCATGTAACTTATTTTATCTACAAATGATTTTTATGCGAAATTATTAACCCAATTTTTTGTCATTAATTGATTCTTTGTTTTGAAAATGTTATTTTAACGAAGTAGCGAACATTCGAATTATTTTCATTGCATATAGTGAAGTTGCTCAACACGTTCCATTGCCTAAATCGTACAGTTTAAATTTTGAATTTAATATCGCGGAAAGAGAGGTTCTGCCAAAAATAAGATATACACTTTAGTCGAATATGTTGGTTTGCAGAGTAAATGTCTGTCACCGACGGCATAGTATCAAATTTTCTTAACAAATAAGTTTATTCTTGTTTTCTTATAATTTTCTCTATATATTTAGTAACTTTCAAGCAAGTAAATTATTTATAAATTCGTATTCGTTTTTAAGTGTTCATTCCATAGTATTTTAGTAGTTGTTTACTCGAAAGGAAATACTAATAATTTTATTCAATGTTTTTTTTATGTTTATTTGAAACGTAGTCTTAAGTCGTACCTACATATGATTTGAATCGGTAAGATTTACGGAATTATTCTCTATTTTACTTACATTTTAAATGCTTACGTTCTTATATTATTTACACGTAGTCTTTCATACCAAATAATAAAACGTTTTATTAATTTGATTAGACGTCTTTCTTATTGTCCATTTTGGGAGAAATTCCTGTTACTTCCGGTAAAGTGATAGCGAAAGGAAAAATTGCTTACGCTTCTCAAGAAGCTTGGGTATTCAACGGATCCATCAGAGAAAATATCTTGTTCGGAGAAGAATACGAAGAGGAGAAATATAAAAAAGTTCTGTGTATAACTGCTCTAGAAAAGGTAATGCGCTATTTTTATCTAGATATTAGCTACAATTTGGGTTACTTATCTTCATTGAAGTCGAAAAGTTGTTTGATACCAACTAGTAATTAAACGACAATTACTTTTTACATGATACATTAAGTTGTTAGTTATTAAGTTATTTTTTAGAATACTAAAAAAATATTGTAAAGTGTAAATAATATTTTCGATTTTATATTTTGGTTTTGTTTTTTGTAGCAGTAAGTGCTTCGTTAAATGTATAAAATATTAACACAATGCAATAACATTCGTAATTATGCATATTGTGCTTTTAATTGTGCAATCTACACAATGATAATCACTAGTTCTAACAGAGATAATATATAGTTTGAGTTGAAAGGAATTATTCAGATTTTTTTTCTAATTGTTATTTTATTTTTTTATGAAAACATTTTTCTAGAAACGATACGGAAAATGTTAATGATCTTAAGTGTCTCGCTTTTAGTCGTTTTCGAGAAAGAGTTCAGGTGATTTCGACAGCCGGGTAATCGCGCTACTTACGAACCTTTCGGGTTTTTGTTGTGTAATATTTTATATTTTGTTCTTTTTCTGTGAATCTTGAGGAATAAACACTTCTATAACTTTTGTCTTCTTTTGCTGGCTCAGGCCATTAACCACTATGCAGTGATCGATGGATATATCTGTCAAGGGCAATCGCGTGGCACTGGAGAACGGCGTATACATCCGCAAAAAAATTGTGCGAATATCGCGAAAAACTAGCCAAAAACTACCGAGAAAAAATTCACATAAAAAAGGAATTATGTGAAAATAAAAAAGATTTTTCTTTACTAGACATAACTGTTAACAATTTTTTTCCGGAAAAAAACGCGTGGAAAAATGCTTAAAAAATTTCCCACGTTTATTCTTCAATACATCATGATAGCGACATAGCTGACTAACACACTGTACAAAGCTTAAGTTACACACGGAAATAAACAACAAGTAATGCGTTCAAATCTGGTAAAGAATCATTTATTCCGAGATAAGAAATAACACTGTTGGTGTATTTTTACATTAAACTAGCTGTTACCTTCGACTTCGCCCGCGGTGGTTTTGCAAGCAAACCCCATTTATATTCAGTAATTCAACAACCATAGGAATTGTTATATAACACCTACCGCTGAGAATGATGAGAATTGCCCAGAATCAAACGAACTGTTTTCAATTTGATCAATTTTCTGGAATGTTTACAATCCTTTATAATCGATATAATTATAGTCTAAAAGTACAAAATCGCACTTAACTTTTTTATTCTTAAATCGTACATGCTACATTTCCAAAGTAGAAATGATTCAGTTCGTGCTTTTGTTGACCCTAATGTGAGTTTATATCTGAAATGTTAGATGCTCAGATAAAAGGCTTGTTTTCAGAGTGTCGTGTATCACTTCTGTGCACCTGTCTTTTTGTAAGCCTGACTTAACGATGCAGGATCTGATCAAAAATTGAATCAGGCAGTCAGAGAAAAAAAACGTCAAAAGCAAAAGTAAAATAGTTATTTCTTATGATAATAAATAAACCTATAATTTCGGCAACATAAAATTTATAAATTACAAGTTATGTCCTCATTATATATTGTATATCGATCATTTAATAATTTAACAAGTATTGTACAATAAAATGCAAATCTTTATATGTTGATATGTTTTTATGGTGGACACTTGGAAAAAGTATTATCGTGTCCACTAGCCTGAGTACTGTACATATCGAATCTAGATTTATACCTTAAATATAATACTTACATTTAATAATACTTATAATTAATTTAATTAAATTTTCTAAAATGTACTTGAATATCTATTGAAGTTATATTTAATGTAAAAGAGTTCTACTTCTCAGTGCATATTATATTGAACATAATTACGTCGCAGTTTACATTTCCCAATTTTAGGATATAAGTTTATTTCCTAAAAAAGATCTAACTGTTGTGGGAGAAAGAGGAGTGATAATGAGCGGAGGGCAAAAAGCAAGAATTAATCTAGCTAGGTAAATTAACTCTTACTCTACTTATTTGTTTCTCTTAGGTCAATAATTAGCTCAACGTGAATACAAAAGCTATGTATATATTTATTGTCTTTTGTAATAGATTTATTTTAACGTGATGTCATTTTTATGATTCTCAGAGCATTATATCTGGATGCCGATATATTCCTCCTTGATGATCCACTAAGTGCTGTTGATGTTCCAGTGGCAAAACATATCTTCGAAAAGTAAGTATTTAAGTATTATCTATGGTATAGTTGAATACATTTTCGCTTTTTATTCATTTCAGATGTATAATGGAATATCTGAATGACAAGATTTGTATTTTAGTTACGCATCAAGTACAATTTTTAAACTCTGCAAGTAAAATTTTAGTGTTAAATAAGGTAACGATACTATTTGTTTACTAGTTTTCTTTCTAATTACTTTGTGAAAAAAATGACATTATTTTCTATTTTAAAACGCATCAATTTAACGTTATAAAGTTTAGAATCAGAAAATAATTATGAAGTTAACTGTACCGTAACTAAGCATATACATCACATTGGGATGTATTACAATATATAAGCTTTTTCTCAACAAAAAATTCTTCTCGGTAAGACTGGATTTGGGAAAAAGTTTATTCCACAGTCATATAGATGATGAAAATATGCAAAATTCCTTCAAGCCGTGTGATGGAAAAAAGGAAACGAGTATTTTTCAGTTATTCATATCTATTCACACACTGTTGAGTTTCAGATCTGTTTGCCAAATTTGCATTATATGTTGTATACAGCAGTAAATACAAAATAGGGATTGACTCACGAGTTAACCAATGCGCCTCTTAGTATACCTGTAATTCAATATCTATTACTGGTAAATTTTTGAAAATACTTTGCACTCATTAATTGTTTGAGACCAAGTATACAAGGTGTGACAATTAAATTCTAGGACTGAGGTAATAAAAGGACACAAAGAACATATAATGAAAAAAACCTTTTTAATATGTTTCAAAGTATTCCCCTAAAGAACAATGAACTTCTCGCAACACTTGTACAAGTTCTTGAAACACTTGGCAAAGTCAGTTCCGTTGACAGCTCTCAATTCCTTGGTCACATTGCGCTGTATGTCCTCCATGTCGTCGAATCTTCGCCCCTTCAATATGAATTTGATTTTCGGAATCTAGTAAAGAGGGGTCATCGTCAACGTCTTGAATGAACTGTTGACACGCTTCCAGCCGGAGACTCTTTTGAACCTCAGTGAGATAGTGCGGAACGAAGCGGAAGCAGATTTTTCTTTTGCCCAAATCTTCGGTGATGATTAAGCGGTTTGTCTCCAGATTGATACCAGTTGTCTCTGCTATCATCCGAATACACATTCGACGGTCATATCGCAGCAAGTCTCTGATTTTTTTATGTTTTCTGGTGTTTGAACTGATTGAGGTCGTCCAGGTCAAGCATCGTCCTCAAGATCTTCCCGACCATCCCTAAAATGCGCAAACCACTCGAAAATACGAGAGGGGATATAGCATCATTCCCATAAACTTGCTTGATGAAGGGATTCGTCTCTGTTGTACTTGTACCCAACTTGTAAGAAAACTTAATGTTCGCTTTTTGTTCCATGACAAAATGTGACAGCACTTTCTCATAGCAATATGTGAATGGAGTACAGAAAAATAATGAGTTAAAAGACACCAACAAATTTTTGCTGACAAGTAACCAGATGGTTGAACTATTATGAAAAGCATAGACAAATTTCTGCATGCCTACACTGCAGCGCTACACAACCAGTCCTGGAATTAAATTTCACACGTTGTATATTTGTATACTTTTGCACGTATGCTTATATATTTATATATTAATTAAAGTCTTAAAAACAATTATATTAATATATATTATAAATTTATTTTAGGAAAAGTTTGAAATCGTTGGCAATTACAATAGAATAGAAAATTTAGAAATGCTTACAGGAATTTCGTCTGATAATGAAATCGCTGAAAATAGGATGGAATTAGAAACTGGTCTTCTGAACGATGATAAAATAGTTGAAAGTACTCAAACATATATGTCTGATGATATTGAAAATAGTAACAACAATAATGTGGTAAGAATTTGTTATGTATTAAATGGTTATCTGAGTGAATTATTTTAGTGTAGATTAAATGAGATGTGGAAGTTTCTATTTCTGAACTTCTGTACGTAATTCTCTCTATATTTCCTATTAAAACAAACAATTATTTGATCTTAGGAATAAACTATTACAATCAAATTATAAACTGATTCATTAATACGTACAGGGATCATTTGGAAAGTTATTGGAAAATATAAGTAAATATCACGTTGCAATATACAGGCTGTTTGCCATTACCTGCAATTCATTTCCACGTAAGGAGTGATTTGACAAAATGATTTGATACCAGAAGTTCTGTACTTGTACAGAAAAATATTTATACTGTATTTATTTTCTTCGATTGTCACTAATTATACTGTATAATGATAAATATTTTTTATTGTTTTTCGGTTATCTTTTTTAATATTATTACTATATAACTACAAATATTCAAGAGAATACTGATTATGTTGATATTTTGCGTACGAATTTAATTTTCAGTTTTATAAAAAAAACTATACCTTGGATTTTTTACTCCAACAATTCATATTGAAATATTTTCTAGTAGATTTAAACATAATTTAATGATTTTTTTATATAATTTAAAAAATACTTTTTGTAGGAAAATGAAAATAAAAAAATACCACCTGACGATGTAGAAGTTGAAACAATAGGAATTTCCGTCTATAAAGAATATTTGAATGCTGGATCAAGTTTTCTCTTCAGGATATTGTTATTACTAATGCTAGTTGTAGCACAATCCATTACAAATGGCAGCGATTACTGGCTAATCAAATGGTACGCTATTTTTATGATGAATGTGAGTTTATTCATATTAATACAAGTTTAATGAAGAAACGTTTCATTATTTGTGTGAATTTTATTTCAGCATAATAAGAAGTTTCAGATATAATCGAATAAGCTTTACGAGTTGAAACGGTTAATCCTTCTAATTCTTCCATCTCGAATTATTTCCATGTACAGAGTAGGCTTCACGTGCCGTCTTTTCTCCACAATTTTTCTGTTGTCTGTCTGACCTAGAATTGACTTCAATGAGAATTCTGGGGGTTTAGGTTTGCATATTGTGACACAAGATTTGAATCGAATCACGAGAGTGAGTGGTGTTATAGGTAAAATCTGGAATAAAAGATTAGAAAAAAAGGAAGACAAAGGACTCAAAAGTAATTAACTCGGATTTGGTACTTATAGATAAGGAACGCTAAGATTTACTTCACAAAAATTGTTGACAGAGAAAGACAAGGAACTATTTCAGTTTTCCTGTGATTGTTATTCATCATCTCCCATCATTGTTTTCTGTGCCTCATTTTAACTTTGACAGATGTGATTATCATGCACGGGCATTTCAGAAAAAAATTTTCTTAATTTTTTAAATTTGATTATATAAACTACTCAACCTTTGACAAATTCATCCTTGTTCCATTCGTGTTGATGTTATTTTTCCTAACAATTTTTTTTTGTTTTCCTTCAGGACAGTTTTGAATATGAAAAACGCGTTTCTATGGCTAAGCATTCATGATCTACAACGAAAATTTTACACAGATATTAGTCCGTTTCACGACAATTCTCTTCCCCCGAGTGAAGGGAATTGTCTTACAAATTCTTCTTGTTTGTATGGTGACCTCTTCTGTAAGGAGAGCTCACCATTTGCACTGCATAAACAGACTGATTGGCATAGGAGGTAGCAAATGTTCTCAACCCTGACTGATGTTGGGACATGATGCTTTTCCCTCGTTCGCGTTTCAGTTGAGAACCTCTATTGTCTGCTCATATCTACTCGTTTTGGGAAGCACCTACGGATTTTCCTCTACCAGACACTGACTTCTTAGAGTATATCTATGTACCGAGTGCATAGAGGTCGCTTGTTGACCAACCTCTATCGTTTTCGATGGTACTGTCTGAACTGTTTACGGCAGATCCAATATGAGTTAATCCCAGGTTCTATTACTGAGGGAGTTTGTTGTTTTGAGGCCGAGGTTTCAGATTTCCCTGCCTCTGGACTATGCGCATTTGCGGCAAAAGATTCAAACTCCATTCACGCGGTTTCTGTCGATTTGCCTGAGTGTGTAACCACTTTCACGTATTGAAATGTTGGATGACATAGTTGACAGGGCTAGTCTTTGCTATAAACCTATATGGCCCTGCCATCTAGGTACTAATTTCCTTTTCAACCCTGATAAGACTTTTACCTTCGTTACGAAGATTCAGTCGCCTACAAAAATTTATGGAGTTTATTTTTGCGCTGATGGTACACTTGTCTGTCCTGTGCTGCTTTTACTGCCTGTTCTTGGGCTAGTCTATGGGCTAAAGTTAACCTTGACCTTAGTTCATTCGTGTAGTTTTTCACTAGTGTAGTAACTACGTCTCCTAGATTCAGTGACCCCAACAAATCAATAAACCGGATCTCTCCCATACACTAGGTAATATGATTTCTCATTTGTACTGGAATGTACTGCACTGTTGTATGTGAAGAGAGCAAAAGGAGCATCTTATCCCAGTTGCGTTGGTCTACATCTGCATAATGCATCAAAATATCTGCCAATGTTTTATTTAGTCGTTCATCCATCCCATTGCACTGTGGGAGGTAAGCAGTTCTGAGAAGTCTCTATATGAAAAACATCGCAAACCTCTTGAATCATCTTCGAAGTGAAATTTGCTCTTCGATTGATCAGTAACTGTATTGGAACCTAGCGTTTCAAGATTACCTGCATAACAAGTGCCTTGGAAACTGTTTCTGCGATAATGTCAAGCAAAAGCACCGCCTCTGCCCAAAGCAAAAAATGATCTACAAAAACCAACAGATACTTATCGCTATTATAGGTAGTGGGAAAGAGGCATTGAATATTAAGGGCTGTTTTCTTAAACATCTGAGTAATCCTGTGAAAAATCTATAAGGAAACATGATGGTCTTGCTTCCTTTCACATACTACACTCCTGACATTACTGACAATAGTGTTGCTACGCCCTTTTTCACGTCTGTTCAGTAGAATTGCGTCTGCAACTGTTTCCTGAATTTTTTCATCTCTAGGTATGCCGAACTAGGGATCTCATGAAATAGCTTCAAGGCATATTCAACCATGTTTTGGGGATAAACCTATCTATCCCATATTTCATTTTTTCGGGGTTTGATTTTTTCGGCATAATGTCTGCTCTGCATCTAAGTAGAATTCTCTACTCTCGGGACTCGGACTCTGTTCTTATGATGTCAAAAACTTTGTTAAGCGCCATCTAATCTCTATGCAAGAAGGATCCCTATATTGCTGCTTTTAGATCTGTGCCTTGCTGTATATGGAATGTATATTGTTAATGGATGCCATTGGTACTGGACTCAACGTGTCTGCGTTGGTGTGGGCCTTTCCAGGATGGTTAATGATCTCAAACTCATATTCTGCAATTCCAAATTCTATCTACTTAATCTTAAACTGTCATCTTTCACCTTTATATGTCATCTAAAAGGTCTAGTGTCTGTTATCATCTTAACCATTGTACAGTGGGTTATTCAGCTATGGAGCTATCATGATGTAGTGGAGGATAAACCTGGGAAATTTTTAAAGCATTTTTCTACAAGTTTTACTCGTTATCGTTTTTTAAACAGTTATGTCAAGTAAAGAAAAATCATTTTTTATTGTCACATAATTCTTATTTTATGTGAATTTTTTCGCGGTAGTTTATGGCTAGTTTTTGGAGATATCCCCAAAAATCCACGAAATTCTTTTGCGGATATAGCCGTCATTCACCAGTGCCATGTGATTGCCCTTGATAGCTATATCTCTTGATCACGGCAGAGTGGTTACACTTTCTACTATACAAGTACGCCCTAAAATGTCTTATTGCCCACATGATTGCTAGGTGCTCCTTCTCGGTTGTGCTGTAGTTTCACTCAGCTTTTTTGAGCAACTGGCATGGGTATGCTAAAGGAAGTTCTCCACTTTCTTCTTCCTGCAACATCACTGTGCCTATGGCTGCATTGGATGTGTCAGTTGTCAACACTAAAAGTTGACTAAAATAAGGTAATCTCAGGAGTTGAGCAGATGTCAACAGCTTCTTCAACCTCTTGAAAGCAGACTCGTTCCTTATTGGAATATTGTGTCATTCTTCAATAAATCAGATAGGGACTTCGAAATTTTTGCACATTAGGCAATATGTCTCTGATAGTAACCTGTTAATCCCAAAATACCTTTATATGTTGTTTATTTCTTGGACATGGAAAATCTTAAACATTTATTTTCCCTCGGTCTATTCCCTCTTCAGAGACCTTGTGCTACAAAAATTTTACCTGCCTCTTCAAAAAGTGACATTTCCTGTGTTTTAGGCCATTCACAGCCAATTGCTTCTAACCTCTCTGAGTGAGAGGTAAAGTCAGAACTAAACATAAGGATATCGTTCATACATACAGGGTTCCTACGCACCTGGAAAGTCAGGGAATATCAGGGAAAGTCAGAGATTTTCATTAGTGTTTGGAAAAAGTCAGGGAAAGTCAGGGAATTTGTCGAAAATTGTCAAAAAGTCAGCGAATTTGTCTCCTTAACTGCATTGTTGATCTCGTTTGCTGAATATGGATGACCAATCACAGCCATCTGCAGGCGGCAAGAAGTAATGATGCAATCTTTAAAACCCGAGATAACTCGGGCAAGTTCCATAGCGTTACATAAAACTCGGGCATTTGGGCCCTCCGAAAAATTTTTTGTATTTTTTGGATTTTTGGATGTTTTTTAAGTCTCCAAATTTTTTCCCGCGCGAAAATATTTTATCTCGATTTTAATATACCTTTAATGACGCACGATTAACGCTTAATTGTTTTTTAATGGGAGTTTTTTTTATCAAATTTCATTCATCGTTCTAAAGTAGTAGTGCACGGATTTTACTTCGATAAAGTTATTTAAAGCTAGTTTCTGATGTCAAAAACGACCTCCAATAGTTTTTTAATTTTTTAAATTAATATATTTTATTATATATACGTTTAATTAAGTCGGGGGGTCGGAAATCGCAATAAAAAAACGTAATTTTTGAAAAATATTTAAAAATATACGGCCAGCTAGTATTCACTCTACTTTAAACCCTTCTCCTCCCGAGACTTCTATGAGAATGTCCCGGGAAATCCAACACCAGCTGTTCTCCAGGTCATCCAGCTGTAAACACAATGACTCATCGGTGTCAGATTTCACAGAAAGGCGAGACAATGGAAAATAAAGTTTGAAGCTTTTTCTTCAAAATTAACGCATTTCTTTCGTTTTTTTCCCAGTTTTAAATATTTTTTATGTTTAATTACATTAATATTAAAAATTAGTGGGTAGCAAGGGAGTTAATTAATAACAGGATAAACTACTTTTATGTAATAGTGTTTAATTTTTAATTTTAGTAATTCAGCGATTATAAAAAGATGAAATTGTTTATTAGAATAAAAAATAACTAATTAAAAATTTGTTTGCAAACTTTTAAAAGTTGAAATCGTAATTTATTAGAATGTTCACTTCAAAATAGCTAAACAGATCAGTAAAAATCTGTAATTTAATCGTTTTTCAGTTTAAAACATAAAAAATTATAAATAGTTACCCGACGTTTACAGTAAAATACTGGCGCTGACTTGTTGTTGGCACAAGCTTTTTATATTTGTTGTTACGATTTTCCTTGAATGTACTGTACTGCAAGCATATTTTCCCTCTCTCTTCCGTTTTTTTCCGCAACTTCGATACATAGTTTAATAATTAGTTAACTGAAATGACATTGGGTAACAAATATCACTGATTTTGGCAAATTTAGGGCTTAAAAACTGGCAAGAT